TTTGTGATGGATAGCCGGGGACTTATGACCTTTCGAGGTCGGATTTGGGTGCCTTATACGGGCGGAGCTCGTAGCACTCTGATGGAGGAGGCGCATAGGTCGAGATTTTTGATCCATCCCGGGGCCACTAAGATGTAATTGGATCTGAAGAGAGACTATTGGTGGCCCTGTATGAAGAGGGACGTCGCGTGGGTAGTAGAGAGGTGCTTGACCTGCCGCCGGGTCAAGGTAGAGCACCAACGTCCACATGGTCCATTGCAGCCTTTGGAGATTCCCCAGTGGAAGTGGGAGCAGATCTCGATAGACTTTATCACCAAATTACCGAGGACGGCGCGTGGAGTTGACGCGATCTGGGTGATTGTGGATCGATTGACGAAGAGTGCTCACTTCCTTGCTATTAGTGAGAACTCTTCTGCTGAGAGGCTGGCAGAGATTTATGTGCGAGAGGTGGTAGCTTGGCATGGAGTGCTGACGTCCATAGTGTCGGATCGGGATGTGCGTTTTACTTCCAGATTCTGGAAGAAGTTCCATGAGGAGTTGGGAACACGATTGCATTTTAGTACCGCCTACCACCCACAGACAGACGGACAGAGTGAGCGGACGATTCAGACGCTCGAGGACATGCTTCAGGCATGCATTATGGACTTCGGTGGGAGTTGGGACACATACCTACCCTTGGCTGAGTTTTCCTATAACAACAACCATCACTCGAGCATCGGTATGCCTCCCTTTGAGCTTCTTTATGGGAGGAGGTGTCGTACTCCCATATGTTGGGGAGAGGTGGGGCAGAGAGTTATGGGCGGCACTGAGATAGTGCTGAAGACGACCAAGCAGATTCAGCAGGTCAGACAGAGGTTGCAAACGGCTCAGAGTCATCAGAAGAGTTACGCGGACAGACGACGATCCGAGCTTGAGTTCCAGGTCGGAGATTTTGTGCTTCTGAAAGTTTCCCCATGGAAAGGAGTAATCCGGTTTAGGAAGCGGGGCAAGTTGGGGCCTCGATATATTGGACCCTTCAGGGTGATTGCCAGGGTAGGCAAGGTAGCATATCAGATGGAGCTACCTGAGGAGTTGAGCCAGATCCATAGCACTTTCCACGTGTCCTAGTTGCGGAAGTGTGTGGTTGATGAGACGGTAGTAGTACCATTAGAGGACATTCAGGTGGATGCGAGCCTGAATTACATCGAGAGGCCGATCGCGATCCTAGATCGGAAGGTGAAGGTTCTGAGAAACAAGGAAGTGTCTCTGGTTCAGGTCCAATGGCAACATCGGAAGGGGTCCGATTTGACTTGGGAACCGGAGTCGGAGATGCGGGAGCAGTACCCCGAGTTATTTGCGGAGCAAGACTTCGAGGGCGAAGTCTGATTCTAGTGGGGGAGAATTGTAACATCCCGAAATCAGGTATATCTCCTTGGCCCTTCTTCTTTCCTTAGTTGTCAGTTTTAGCCCTTGTGTAGTTTGTGTGATAATCGAGTACGCTGGGCGTAATAGAGAGTACGTCGCGCGTACTCGTGAGCGTATTCATGACGCGGAGGTTGCCTAGTACGCGGGGCGTACCAGGCCCAGAATGAAACCCTAATTCTAAGTGAGCCCCCTATTTAAAGAACGTTATGGCCTCATTGTTGGCCACCATTTCCAGAGACTTGTCCATCCAAAACCCTAATCCTCGTTCTTGTAGCTAGAGAGTGACTTGGAGATCTTGTTGGTGTGTTCTTGAGCATTAGGAGTGGAAAGTAAGCTTTGGAGAAGAAGGAGTAAGAGCCCAAGCACTTGGATCTGAGCTTAGTAGTGTGGGAAGCTTCTATTGGAGGTATAAAGCTTCAAGCTTTCTTCCTTTTTTTGTTTTGTGTTCATATATGGGGTGTTTTAGGGTTTTTGTCCCAAAAGTTGATGGCTTTGTGAGTTGATGAGCCCTAAGGACCGAGATATGTCCCTTGCTAGTGTATTTCGTGTTATAAGGTCATAAAAATCCAATCTTGGTCATTAAGAACTAACCATGCATGGGATATGAGCTTAAGGAAGAAAATGGATGAAGGTTTTGAGTGATTAAAGCCAAACCAGTCATGCAAAGGCAAAAAGTCTTCGACTTTATGGATTAAGAGACTGTAGGGGGTCCAGATCTGTATTTTGAGCCAAGATCTTAACTGATTAAGACCATAAGTGAGATAAGAGTGGAACTGGGACGTACGCTGAGCGTAAATCCCAGTACACGGGGCGTAGGGTTCAAGCAACCCAATATCAGCGTAGCGGTCGAGTACGCCCAACGTAAGGATCTGGTACGCGCAGCATACTCGCAGGCGTTGACTTTTGTTGACTTTTAGGTTTCGGTCAACAAGTGGACTTTTGGACTCATGAAGGGGTAAAATGGTCTTTTACCCTTCTGTGAGAACATGGGGGGTTGTCTAGCTTATTGAGTGCTGTTATTAAATAAGAATTTCTGTTGTGTGTATTAGACGGAGGCTAGACCGGAGATTTGAGTCCGAGATTATTCCGAGTTAGTTCGAGGTGAGTCTTTTCACTATACTTTACCTAGAGTGGTAGTTATGTGTGACCATAGGGTCTTATGTGCTTGTTGAGTTATACATGATTGTGTGACATGTATTGTATGCTATATTATTGTTGCTTAGACCGGACCGGAGGGTCCAACGAACTATGAGGCCAGAGGGTTCTCAATCAGACCGGACTGGAGGGTCCAACGAGCTAGACCGGACCAGAGGGTCCAACGAGCTACGGGACTGGAGGGTCCCGCTGAGACACATGGGTCGGAGGGTCCTACAGAGTATAGCCTCGAGTGGCGAATTTGTTGTATGTGGTATTTTGGGGAACTCACTAAGCATTCGTGCTTACCGTGTTATGTGTTATGTGTTTCAGGTACTTCTGAGGATCGCGGGAAGGCACCGGCGTGATTGTACACACACTCTTGATATCGAGTTATGATTGTGGATCCTGTTGAATAATTGTGTTGAAAACTTGTTGGTTGTTTTTGAGAATTAATGATGAGACATTTGTTTTATGAGTTTTAAAATTGAAAATTTTGTTTGAAAAATCATGTCGTTACAACTTGAAGAAAAGGGTAGGACCGAAGAAAAGTTGAACAACGAATTTGGATGAGGATGTTACAGAAGAAAGAGTTCGAAAGAGACATTTGAGGGGTTTAAAACGCACAATATGTTTCATTAACTCCTATATACACGTGGCATTGATGTGGACTTAATTAATCTAATTGGATAATACGTGGAATTGGAAAATTGTTGCGTGGGATGAGGGTCACTGGGTGACCCCTTCATATTTCCAAAAGTGCCCTTTTAAAACCAGAAATTAGAAGTATATGCCCTTAAAATGCAAAAAATAGTCACGAGGGACCATTTAAACCATTATACGTAACTTTGTTGGGCTACAGTGACAATAACCCGGAAACTAATTACAATTCAATATGTGTTTTATTTTCAGTTAGTATTTTAATGCATTTCTAAGATATTGTACTTTTATATTTCATTATTTGTAAGATATTTTATTATGTAGTTTTGTGTTTCACGTATTTGTAAGATATTGTATTTTTATATTTCATGTATTTGTAATATATTTATTAAGTAATTTTGTTGTTCACATGGAGTGTCAATATCATTTTTTATGAACATAGATTTGTCAGTGTCGTCTTTACTGAATATAGAGCTGCCAATATCATCTTTATTGAACATAGAGCTGTCATTTTCATTTTATCATTTAGAAAATCGAACGGTATCTTTAATTCCATGTGTCATCTTTGTATTAGATGCTTGGATTTTATGTAGATAAAATAATTTAACATTACCTTAAATTTATAATTATAACAAAATATAAATCATTATTTTCTAGTATAAATAGAATATAGCACATGCATACTTTGATATCCAATACTAAGGTGCTGTTTGTTTTTCTGAAGCCAAAATGTCTGCAGTCTGCGGATCACATTTGCAAGTCTCTGCAGCAGAAGAGGTGGACCAAGCGTCTGCAGTCTGCAATAAAAAGATTGTTTGTTTTTTAACGTTTGCAGGCTGATGAAATAAACTGAATTTTAAATAAAATGATTTTACAAACTTAAAATGATTTTTCAATACCAAAATTTTAATAATAATAGTCATACAACACTAAAAATAAAATTCATGCATCTAAATTAGTCATACAATAAAAAAATTGGTTTTATAATAACATTTCATTTAAAACAATTCAATCTATATTGTGCATCAACTGCTCAACAATTTCATCTCGTAACCGAGTCATATATTCACGGTCTGCTGCAATATCACGTATTGGAATCTCATCTTCATCAGCATCAACGGCCACATTGTTATTTAGACGTTCATCATATCGTGCAAAATACTCATCACTCAGTCATTCTTTCCTTATAAAATTATGAAGCGCGAAACATGCCATGACAATGTTTCTTTGTGTAATAAACGGAAATGGTGCCATCATCTTCAATATTGGGAATCATAGGGGTGTTGATCGGGTAAAATTTTCGGGTTTCGGGTAGAACGGGTATTTCCTTAAAAAAATAATACCCGATACCCGACCTATATTGTAATTCGGGTTATCGGGTTTTGGGTATTCGGGTTTGAGGTCGGGTCGGGTAATTATTTGGTATACCCGAAAATTTCTTAAGTTTCACTTTTTTTAATTAAAGAGTTTCAAGTGTGCTTGAAGAATTCGTGGTGTAATTATTATAGATTACAACAGTTCATCATTTTATAACAAAAATACTTCTTATTGATGTTTGGTTTTATTTTTGTTTACCTTGTATATTATGTTTATAAATTTGATATTTCAAATAATAAAACTTAATGAACCAAAAAGAAGATGATAATAAGTCGAAAACTGAAAGTTAAGAAGGTCAAATGTGGTGATGTCGTGATGCTTGATACGGATAATAATACCAAACAAAATAATTTCACATACCTATCCTAGGGAATTTGTTGTTTTACCAAAAAAAAAGGACATATAATAATAACATCAATAATATCATCACGGTTGAACGAACAAAATACATAAGTCATAACCCAACTAAACAATAAAAGTCTAAACACAACCCAACTAAACAATAAAAGTCTAAACATAACAAAAGAGTAAAATTCATAAGTCATAACCCAATTCAAAACATAACCAAGTTTCAAATCATCTTCAAATGATTCTTAGTTTCACAAAAATATTCATCAATCTTGCATCTTCACGTTGCCACATTCATTTCCATATCCAATCCGAGCTCTAATTAGACGTACCAACTTCTCCCAATCCTATACAAATAGTATAAGCATTAAAAGAACAAAACATAACATGTCAAAATATTAAAAAAATATTAAAGATAAACAACTACCTTTTATCAATTTCTTGTAGGTTTTCCCAATCTTGTTCAAAATTGATGTTGTCACTTATACCACCCCGAAGCCAATCTTGGGTACAAATTATACTTTCGACAATCTTAGGAGTCAAAGAACTCCTATACGGATCCAAAACCCTCCTGCTAGTGCTAAAAACAGATTCCGAAGCCACAGTCGAGACATGAATAACAAACAAATCTTTAGCCATCAATGATAGAATCGAGAATCTTGGACTATTCACTTTCCACCAATCTAAAATGTTAAACATTGACGAATCTTCTTCAACACTTTCTTTCAAATACTTTTCTAACTCGCCAATTGATTCAACTATGTTTGTTTTCATCTTTTCTCTTAGTTTATTTCTCAATGGTGGTTTTGGTGTCGTAGCATCCAAATTTTGGTATTTCCCTAAAATCAACGATGAATTACTAGACCCGATAGTACTAGAAGTAGTACTTGGAGAATGAATTCTAATGTAATCATTATATAATTCATACATAGAATCCATAATATATTTCTTTTTCTCCTCCATCTTTTCTTTTCCATAACGATCCTCAAGTAGTATAGCCAAATACTTTACTTTGTTCCTCGGGTCAAGAATCAAAGCAAAGTAGAGCAATAAATTCATTTTTTCTACATCGCCAAAATACTTATCAAACTTTACTCTCATTGCCAATGCAATATCACAAAGGCTAGCATCGGAAATAGCATCATCCAAGAGTGTACGAATGGAATAAATATCTTCAATGCACATGTTTTATGTCACATATAGTGTCCCGGAAATCCTTTCAGTAACATCACAAAATGGTTTTAAAAAATGACACAAATGCCTAACATGTTGCCAATCGCCCGGTGAAGGAATCGATAAACCCGCCTTTTCAATGTCGGAACGAAACTCATATTCCTCTAGATCGTATCTCTCAAAAGTTTTTTCATAAGCTTGGGCAATATTCAACATACGATAAGTAGAATTCCATCTTGTTGGAACATCTCTTACCGAGTGTTTCGTTGTACCCGGATTAACAAGCTTGGCAAACTTGGTGAATTTGCCAATTCTTGAAGGTGATTGCCTAATCCACTTTACCGCCCATCTAATTATCTCAATCGGGTTATTAACCTATGATTATGATTGTGATTGCATACTCGAACAGTCGAACCGTCTTTTGATCGATCAAGGTTCAAGGAAACTGGGACTTTTCAGCGTGATCAGATGGAGAAGGAAGAAACCGAAGCGTGATCAGATGGAGTCAATGAGGGTTTAACGTTGAGACGATAGTGAGAACTGCGATTTGCGATTGCGTGGGATTGCTTAGCGCCGTATTTGCTTGCATCGATCATAAGATGAAACCGAAGGGTTTTTTTTGAAACGTGCCTACCTGACTACAGACTACCTCCGACTCATGTTTAATCATTAAACTTTAATGTATATTGGGTATTATTTAAAAAACGAATTCGGGTATTCGGGTATACCCGAAAATTAATATTCATACCTTAAGCCCGACCTATATGATTATCGGGTTAACCTATTACCCAAATGTTCATACCCGTTACCCGCTCTACCCGACCCATTCTACCCGAATTCGGAACGGGTCGGGTGGGTAGAACGGGTTTCGGTTTTTTTCGACAGGCCTAGGGAATCGTGCTTTCAAAACACCAAAAGCACGCTCAATGACATTCCGAAGTTTTGCATGTACATGGTTAAATTTTTCTTTATTGGTCAATGCACGTCTGTGACGAAAATCTCCAAGTCAATACCTCACATTATGATAAGGGGCCATAAATCCTCGAGTGTGTGCATACACCGCATCACAAAGATAATATTTGTCTGTAAAGAATACAAAACACTAATCAATTTTCAAACTAAGATAAAAATATTTAAAAAAACAAAAACTTACCTGATGGTGGAAACGGGAATGATGCTTGTGGATCGACTACTGCTTCTGATAATATTCTAGATTCATGCGCTACCCCTTCCCACCCGGCCACAACAAATGTAAAAATTATATTGAAGTCACAAATTGCCAATACGTTTTGGTAGCAATCTCCCTTTCCCCTACTTCTATATAAGTGTTGTTTCTTAGCATGGACAACATGTTTCAAAGTGCCTTCAAGTGCACCAACCTCCCCTTGAAAACCCGTCGTAGCCTCCTATTAAGGCTAAAAAACTGCATACAAATGGTTGAATGTATGTTGTTATTTCACGCAAAAAAATAGTGATTTTATCACTTAAAATCACTCAATATTAAAGCTAAGTGCAGAAAAATTACTTGAATGTACGTTGCTATTTTATGCAAAAAAACAACGTTTTTAACACTTTAAAATCATTCAATATTAAGGCTAAAAAACTGCACACAAATGGTTGAATGTATGTTATTATTTCACGCAAAAATAGTGCTTTTATCACTCAATATTAAAGCTAAGTGCAGAAAAATTACTTGAATGTACGTTGCTATTTTATGCAAAAAAACAACGTTTTTAACACTTTAAAATCATTCAATATTAAGGCTAAAAAACTGCACACAAATGGTTGAATGTATGTTGTTATTTCACGCAAAAAATAGTGTTTTTATCAATTAAAATCACTCAATATTAAAGCTAAGTGCAAAAAATTACTTTATAAGTGTAGAAAAATACAAACTATGTTTACTTCAAAAAATTACTCAATTAATTCTTGAAATTATAAAATCTCTCAATAAATGCAGAAAAATAAAAACTAATTTGTGATACATATTTACTTCAAAAAATCAGTACAATACAATTCCATTCCTGATTTTTGTTTTGATTCCCAAATTGATACAGTACAAGTGACATTCAAAATTATCATTCAAGTTCATCAATAGCAACAAATCAAATTGATACCATATTTTCTTTTACTTCCAAAATCATAGCAGTAAAAGGAAATTTTGAGTCCAATCAATGCCAAAAAAATGGGTACAGTACAATTAACATCATAACGATAAAAAAAGTGATTCCTAATTTTGTTTTGGCTGCCAAAATTGATACGTAAAGAAAAGATATGAACATATTTTTTTTACCATAATCCAGTTGTATGCCAAAATTGACTATTGTAGAAGCAAATATTAGTCAAAAGTCGCCGATAGAGATGAATATTGGATAGCAAGGTATTTGGTGATGACAGCTCTAGAATTCAGAAACTTGAGGAGTTGAAAGAAACCATGAGAGTTTACAAACGAAGCTAAAAATTAACCATAAACTACTCATCTTCAAACTTTCATCACTCCATCAAATTGCCGCCACCACCATCATCAGCAAAAAAGCCGAGAGTTTTTGAGTTCTAATTCTGTCATATACCAGAATACAAAGGGAGAAGAAAGGAAGCTTCGGCAGCAGCAAAAAAATCAACAGCAAGAAGGGAAAAACGAATGAAAGAGACAACAGGAAAAGAAAAAAAAAGACAAAAGAAGCAGGAACGAACCTCTATGGAAAGTCTCCGGTGCGGCTGTGGGTTGTGACGATCTTTGGCCGGTGGGGAGGAGATGGCTAACAGTGGTGGCTTCACAAGGGACGACATCAACAATCGAGAGCACAACCTTGTCTGATCGGAGATTGGTGGTGGAGTGAGGCAGGGGGTCGAGGGTTGAGGCGTCGATGGAGATGTATCAGATGAGCGAGTTCGTTCAAGGGAATAGAAAGTATGGGACGTTTTTTTTAGGTCGAAAGCCCGCAGATTTGAGAAATGGGTAGTCTATGTCTATGTTGTGAAGACCTCGCGCAAACGTTTTTAGATCTCAGCTTTTCGAAAAAACAAACACCCTGCGAGGATAAAAGTTTGCGCCTTGTCTGCGAGGCGCATACAAAAATGATCGAGAAGAGCTTTTGAAAAAAAAAACAAACACCACCTTTAACTCTTCATTTCTTATATTTTTGGAAATGTCTCATAATGAAAACTCATCGAATGAATATGATGAATGAGAAATACGAGTTGTCCAACATAATCAACAATTTGATGAAATTGTTTATTTTTTTAAACGAAAATCTATCCTACTCCTAATCTAATCCTAAATACCATTTATATCTCCTAGTGAAACTTGAACCTATGATCTCTCATTTGAGAGAGTCATTCCTTACCGTTAGGCCAAATGTCATTTTATGTGTGAAAAGTTGGACTTAATTAGAGTGGAAGAGAGAGAGAAATTGATTTTTAAATTAATTTCATTTGATTTTGGGAAAACTACAATAAAGTCCCTACATATTGGCCTCATAATCGATTTAGCCTTTATATTTTTTTTTATTCAATTAAGTCCCCAATATCGGTAATCATATTCAATTTAACCCTTTGACCCGGTCAACAGGTCATCCAACTTTCAAAAATTACATTTTTGGCCCAGATTTCAAACTTTATTACAAATTTGGTCCAAAATTTACATTTTTGGCCAAGATTTTAAATTTTTTTTTACAAATTTGGTCCAAAATTTACCCTTTTTGCCCAAATTTTAGAATTTTATTATGAATTCATCCTAACTTTAGTTTTTTTTACAACTTTTTTTCTCAAAAGTTTGTTTCTAATATGTTTTTTCTTTAAAACTCATATTTATACAAAAAAAAACATATTTTCACATAAAAATCTTATTTTTTCTATATAAAAACTTTTTTTAAAAACTTTTGTATATGAAATATCTAATTATAAAAATAGGTTTGGATTATTTGTGTGATTTCTCTTAAAAAATCAATTAAGAAATTAAAAGTAACCCTAAATTATACTATTAAATTATAGTTTGTCAAAAACTAGTTACACTAATTACCCTAAATTAAAAGTAACCCTAAATTATACTATTAATATAGAGATTTTAATATGTGTTCTATTTAGTGTGTATTCCTTTTTCTATGAGATTTTAATATAGTTGTTTATATGTATTTTTCAATCTGTTGCATCTTCGTAAATTAAATCATACCTTCGATCACATATATATGACGAAAGGTATGTAAAGTTGTTCTAATCTCATATATGACAATCCATATTGATTTCAGCAGGAGTTATAATTATCAACGTTTGTAATACTTTTTTACATTTGTTAAATGCCCTTTTCTGCCAAAAACCTCCTTATCGACAAATGACAATTGCTCCATTCTAGATAGTTATTTTTTGTTATTACAACAAACAAAATTGACACATGAATCCGATTTTACAAAGAAGTTTAAATAAAGAAATCCAAAGTGATGATGAACTATATGTATGAACATGTATTCAGCGAGAAACAAAAAATATGAAGTTTTCAATATGTAGCATCTTCTATTATTTAAACTTTTCCTATAAATGTGATTAAAGAACAAATAAATAATATTAAAATGAGTGTAACTAGTTTTTGAAAAACTATAATTTAATAGTATAATTTAGGGCTACTTTTAATTTCTTAATTGATTTTTTAAGAGAAATCACACAAATAATCCAAACCTATTTTTATAATTAGATATTTCATATACAAAAAAGTTTTTAAAAAAAGTTTTTATATAGAAAAAATAAGATTTTTATATGAAAATATGTTTTTTTTGTATAAATATGAGTTTTAAAGAAAAAAACATATTAGAAACAAACTTTTGAGAAAAAAAGTTGTAAAGAAAACTAAAGTTAGGATGAATTCATAATAAAATTCTAAAATTTGGGCAAAAAGGGTAAATTTTGGACCAAAATTGTAAAAAACTTTAAAATCTGGGCTAAAAGTGTAAATTTTGAACCAAATTTGTAATAAATTTTGAAATCTGGGCCGAAAATGTAATTTTTGAAAGTTGGATAACCTGCTGACCGGGTCAAATGGTTAAATTGAATACGATTACCGGTATTTGAGACTTAATTGAATAAAAAAATATATAAGAGCTAAATCGATTATGATACCAATATTAGGGATTTTATTGCAGTTTCTAGTGATGAAGAGTAATCTAAGCTCTTTGATGAAAAGAACATGACCGGTTCCAAAAAGAAAACAAGAACACGTGGTTTGCTTGCCGTTCGATTCACACCGTTGCGTCTCCAACAACGAATCTGTGATCCGCAACACAGAGGATAACGTACTCCTGCAAACGTAAACGTGATCTCTCTCGAATGATCCTGGCCCTTCTTCACCTCTTTTTTTTCTTCGTCTAAGTAACTAACCCCTTTCGGAACCCTCTAGAACCCTTTTACATTTACAGCCACCTGTCTATAAAAGCCTCAAAATCTCGATTTTCCTCATACATACAATCATTTCTCTCGGATTCACGATTTTTTTTTGCTTGTCGATTTTGCATTATAGCAGCGAGATTTGATATCGGTATAGCACAATGGAGGATGATTTTGACTTTCCCGCAGCTGGAGCAATGAACGATGAAATGATGGATGATACGCCGTATGATGCTCCGGGGACATTAAAGGTTGGCGAGGAAAAGGAGATCGGTGATCAAGGTTTGAAGAAGAAACTTCTTAAGGAAGGTGAAAGTTGGGAGACTCCAGAAAATGGCGATGAGGTCGAAGGTATAATTCAGCATTGATGCTGGTTTTGCTGATTATTATTTATCTTCGAACTCGTAATTGTATTGATTTTGATTTCAATTCGAATATGTTACAGTACATTATACTGGAACCTTGCTTGACGGGACTCAGTTCGATTCCAGCCGTGATAGAGGAACTCCGTTCAAGTTTACTCTCGGTCAAGGTGAGGATTCTCGTTCTTACGATATGTAGTTATCTATCTTCTTCTTCTGAGTCTTAAATCATTGACGATCTTATTTCGTGATGTCTATTTGATAGAGTATGCTCGTTATGGTGCTCTTAATAGATAGTTTTTCATGTTTATTCATCTAATGCAGATGCACTAGTGACAAATATAAATGATCGTTATCCTTGATTGATTCTCGGTACCTTAGATTAGCTGTCAACGGCGATTAGGTTTTGTTTTTTCAATCTAGATGAACTTATTGCTAAAACTTTCATGATGTTTATTTTGTTTTAAATCACTATGAAGCTTTGATATGATCCAATGCACATCTTGTCTGCTCATTACTTGCGTCGAATAGGATATATAAATTCTCAACCATGAAAACATATTTCAATAAATGAAACAGTCCGCACTTCTTGTGTTGTGTTATTTATATCAATAAATGACACTATTGCTCACTATTGATAGGTCAAGTAATTAAAGGATGGGATCAGGGAATCAAAACAATGAAGAAGGGTGAGAATGCACTCTTCACCATTCCTGCTGAGCTTGCATATGGCGCTTCTGGTTCACCTCCAACCATCCCACCAAACGCCACTCTACAGTTCGATGTACAACTACTTTCCTGGTCTAGTGTCAAGGACATTTGCAAGGATGGCGGAATCTTCAAGAAGATTGTTAAGAAAGGAGAGAAGTGGGAGAACCCAAAGGACCTTGATGAAGTTTTAGGTATCTCTTTTGTTATCACCATAACCTTTTGATACACAAACATGTTGTTGATTTGAACTCACCGCGTTCATTGCTAATGGTTCTGCAGTGAATTATGAAGTTCGACTTGAGGATGGGACTTTAGTCGCAAAAGCTGATGGAGTAGAGTTCACTGTCCAAGATGGTAATTTCCCTGGATGATCAATACTCTTCTACTCCTGTTGTGGTGGTTGCTTTTGTTTATTGCTGACGTCATTGTTTCTTCAGGACACTTCTGCCCTGCGTTGTCAAAGGCTGTGAAAACAATGAAGAAAGCAGAAAAGGCCGTTCTTACAGTTAAACCTCAATGTAAGTGTGTTTCTTTCAAGTACGCTTTTAAATCAAAGTTAATTTCGTTGCTAGTTATGAGTTATGACTTAGTTTTTTCATGGTTGCAGATGGATTTGGGGAGAAGGGGAAACAAGCTTCGGGTAATGAAACTGGAGTTCCAGCAAATGCTACACTTCAAATTACTTTAGAGCTTGTATCATGGAATATCGTCTCAAACATTACCACTGACAAAAAGGTTGTGAAGAAAATCTTGAAAGAAGGAGAAGGATATGAGCGCCCAAATGAAGGAGCTATTGTTCAATGTAACTTGTGGGTCTTTTCATTATAATTTGACAATTTAGTATATAACACATTGGTTTCTGAAAATTTGGTTTTTAAATTGATAGTGACATTGATTGGTAAGCTGCAAGATGGCACCATATTCTTTAAAGCCGACCCTTTTGATTTCAAAACAGACGAAGGTATATATAAAAACATCAAGAATCTTGATAAAGTTCCATACTTGAAATTCAATTGTACTCAATACTCTATATTTCACAGAGCAAGTAATCGATGGGCTTGATAGAGCTGTGTTAACAATGAAGAAAGGCGAAGTAGCTGTTCTCACAATCGCACCTGAGTATGCATTTGGTTCTTCAGAGTCCAAGCAAGAATTAGCAGTTGTTCCTCCCAATTCTACTGTCATCTATGAAATCGAGCTTATCTCTTTTGTGAAGGTCAGTTTAGTAATTTCATCTCAATACTAAGTTATTTCCAGTAAAGGGTAATTGACACACATTGCTATTTTTTCTTGCAGGAAAAAGAATCATGGGATATGATCACCCCAGAAAAGATCGAAGCAGCTGGGAAAAAGAAGGAAGAAGGGAACATGTTGTTTAAAGCTGGGAAATATGAGAAAGCTTCGAAGAGATATGAGAAGGGTGTGAAGTACATTGACTATGACGCTTCTTTTAGTGAGGAAGAAAAGAAGCAAGCGAAAGTGTTGA